TACATTTCATAATTGAATTCTCCCATCTTTCCCCAAAACCAAGTGCCAACAACATACACTTAAGGAAAACCCTCCATAACCCCCCCCCACCCCCAGCCAACCTTCCCCAACTGCTTCCCATGAACGAAATGACCAATCAATCTCTCCTGCAATTATATCAGTGATTAACCTGCCATGAAGAAAAGCACTTTGGGATTCCGAGATCACCCCACCCAGGAATGGCTTCATTCTGTTGGGCAACATTTTTGCCATGATCTTATAAACAACGATACACAGTGCAATAGGCCTAAACTCCGACACAGTTTGAGGATCCTTCTTCTTAGGGATGAGAATAACATTAGCATCATTGAACCCGACCGGCCAAGTGCCAGAGTCCAATCAACTCAAAACAAAATCAGTCACACCCCCTCCCACTAAATTCCAGAAATGTAGGTAGAATCCAGGGTTCATTCCATCAGCCTGGGGCTTTGTTGGGGAACATAGAAAAAAGTGCAGACTTGAACTCCTCGCTCCCAAAGGGGCGATTAAACAGGGTGTGATAGTAGAGAGAAAATCATCACCATTCACCCTAGGGCCACTTGCAGAGAAAATATCTTCAAAATAATTTAGAATAACGGAGTTAATACCAGCCCCCTCAACCCATTTACCAATGCTATCTCTGAGTCCTGTGAAGGTATTCTTCCGTTTACAAGCCAATGCATATAAGTGATAGAAACGGGTGTTGGCATCAGCACCCCGTAGCCAGTGTTGTTTAGCACGTTGCCTCCCAAATGCATCTTCTTGAGCTTCCAGAGTTTTAGATCAATCTGACGAAACTCTGCTAGAGACCTTTGGTCACCACGCCCTCTCCACTTCAGCTGCTCCCTATGCAAGTCTCGAATATGTTTGCCAAACTAGTAAAACAGATCACCGCCCCATCTCATCAGACTAGTACCACAGCCCTGGACACACTCCATCAAACCTCCCCTACGCCGCTCCCTCAATGCCTCATCCACCACCTTTTTGTGTTCATGAACATCGAGGAAGAGAACAGAATGATCTGAAGTTCGTTTAGAATAATAACAACTCTAGCATCCTCAAAACCCCTGCACCAGTCTTCATTTTCTACCATCCTATCCAATCTCTCCTCCACCCAAGCTTCCGTACCCCGACCTCTCTCCTAAGTGAAAGGGTAACCCACCGTCGAAACATGTAGTAGACCACGATGATCTAACGCTTCCCCAAAACCCCTAAGGAGGCTATCCAGGTGTGGGAGTGGACCAGGCTTCTCATGCTGGAAAAAGAGATCATTAAAATCGCCAACAATAGCCCAAGGAAGAGGAGACCGAGAGCTTAGACTCTGGAGAAGGTCCCAAGAGGCCCCACATCACCCCCTTTCAAGAAAACCATAGAAACAAGTTAACCTCCAGGGAGAATCACCCCTGGGACAGACAACAACATCCACGTGATTCCTTGAGAAGCTAATCAACCTTGATGTACTATTCTTCCTCAAAAACAACACAAGTCCCCCACTCAAACCAATCCTATCAACATAGAACAACCCATCAAAGCCAATCCTAACACGCAATCTTTCAGCATGTTCTCCCCCAGACTTGGTCTCCATCAAAAAAAACAAAATAAGGCTTCTTTGTAGAAACCAGGTCCACCACTTCGCGAATGGTTTGTGGATTGCCCAAGCCACGACAATTCCAACTTAAGGTACTCACGACGCAGTTCCAGCACGCACAAACCAATCAAACTAACTGTAGTCTTCATTCGCATTTACACTTGTATGTTTGTTCCTGTGCAACGACAGCTAATTAATTACAAATGGAATTCAACAAAATGCACAATAGCAAAGCAGTTCATTGCGCAGCAGAATACATTGAACCCAAAATGCAGCCAGCCAAAAAATTTCAAATGTGCTAGAGATGCACAAGAACCCAAAACTTCACCCCAAAATCCAAAATCAAAGCTAAACTAAGAAACCTGGTCACAGCCACAACACGAAATTGGCCGCCATTATTATAATTAATGAATAATAATATTCATTAATTATTAATATTTTTTAGACTCCATAATAATTTTTGCACTCGTATCTACGCCCTTATGTGATAATGTAAGAGCCAACAAATCGTTAATGGGTAGGTACTGGCTCTTTGATTTCTTGAAGATGTGTTTTCTTCCACATATACTAACACTAAAATAAGGTCATCCAATATCATTATCACAGATGTTTTTACATGGAAAACAACTATATATTGCCGCATATATATTTACATTTTGATAAGGGTCAGGGATCTTTAAGTGCATCTAGAGCCTATGTGCCTTTAAACATAAGAAAATTGCAATCTATTTCCCTTGAAATTGTTGTAATAGACTATGCCTTTGTCACAGTGCTAATGCCATGTTGTGTTGTGTAGGTTTTGAAATTGACAAACTGTCACGGATAACAATTCTACGTTGAAAGAGGAAAAAAAATGCCAAAAATCCTTTGAGACAGGTGCAGCTTGTGAAAACCAAATCATGTTTCTAATTGCATATACCATGATGCAGTTCAAGAAATTCAAGCCTGAAACATAGATCTTTCTAACAGTAGCATTTGAAACAGGAGCAATCTATGAAAACTAGAGTATCATCCAGGACTGGTATCACCAAAGCATCTAAACATAATATCGTACTGTAATATGAAATTGGCAACACTTTTAGCTAAAGTATTCATAAGAATTGGTAAACTTTTTTATTTGTATATTTATTTATTTTAAAAGGGAGTAGTAAGCGAAACAAAAAAAAAGAGGCTAGTACTCTCATAATAACAAATCTATGCGAACTGTATGAACAAGTATACAAAAGTGACAATCTGAAAATTCAGATTTTCAAATTGAACCACCAAATACAGAGTGTAAACAGCCACTACTAAGCAAGAACTCAAGAATCAGTCTCCAAAGTTATCAATTACATACTAAAAGATAAGAATGTTCTGGAACATAACATACAACACACAATCATAAAGTGCATTGGATTCAAAACAGAAACGAAATCTATCATATAGCAGGATTAATTATACTTTCAGATTTGTTCAAGTGCTAAAACATGCACAACACTGAAGAATGAACACGAAGAGCAACACATAAACGAAAAGGATACTGAAGAACAACTACGGATTTAAAGATTATACCCTCTAAAACACTTACGGAAGCTGGATTTGGCTTTCCTTTTTGTCCCTTCTCGTCGCTAGTTTCTGGTCAGTGGTAGCACCTTCAGAGCTTCGCCATTTCCGTTCCTCCTCTCCATCGTTGAATCTGCTTGTTGCATTGCGCGCGCCTCAGAGATCTTGTGGTCGGGAGCTAGGGTTTCGAACCATAGCCCCTGCGTCATCTCATTATTCCCTATGGAACCATAGCCCTACTTGTGTTCAAGTAATATCAACAAACAAAACATACACACTGAGTAATAACTAACTTACTAACTACCTACTCTTTCAATTTCATTCTCTACTCCAGTTTCCAAATTTCAAATAGGTAAAAAAAACTCTATTCTCAAGTATGTTCTTTCTTTAATTCTCTTTTTAATTCCTCCACTTCTTACTTTTAATTTAGAGACAATTTAAGTATCTCATCTTTTTGGTTTGGTGTATCTATAGGATCACGATGGGTCACATATAAGAGGCTTGCTCCTTAATATGTTTTATAATTTTTGGCCGCGTTTATTGCTTCTGAAGCCTCCTTTCTTTTCAATGCTTATCACACCTCTCATCAAGGTAAATACATATAACCTACTTTGTATTCTTATGTAACAATGATAACATAGCTTTTAATTTCTTACTTTAATAGGCGATTGATATGTCCAAAATACGAAAGCCTTTGACGTTTTTCACTATTCAAGATTATGAAAAGTGGATTATCACTAATCCAGAGGGTCAATGGAACACCATTTTTTATAAGGTACAATTGTATATATGTATTAATGTGTGTGTGTACACACACACTCAAAACTCATATTATTCACCATTAGTTGATTAATCACACTTTCAAAGCTAATAAAACTCGCATTTTTCTTTTGTTTACTTCTTTTTCTCAGTGCTTAGGTGACAATGACTCCAACGAAGGTCAAGAGTATTTTAGAAATAAAAAAGAATTGCGAAAAATGCTCGTCCCTAGTTCAGTTAAGAAAGATGACGATGTTGCATTTAATATTTTCTTGGCAGAAGATATGAGTGACGAGAGAAAAAAAAAGCTTCGAGATCCTCATAAAGTAGATGAAGAATATCTCCAACTAGGCGATCCAAGAATGGTGAATATCACATATTCGGATTTCTTATACAAAGAGTTCATACATTATTCAATTGCACAAAACCGGCGAACAATCCCGTCGATGGTTGATGGATTTAAGCGCACACAGCGAAAAGTGGTATTTACAGCTTTGTTGATAAATTTGGATACATTTATGAAAGTGCCGGATTTTGCGGGTGAGATATGATCCAAGACATCATATCATCACAGCAATGGAGTTCTTACAGATTGCATCTTTCTCATGGCCCAAGAGTTTGTAGGTAGAAAAAACTTAAACATCATGCAATCAAAGGGTCAATTTGGAACACGATCTCGGGTCCGTTTTTTGTTCTTATCTTATTTTTATTATTTACTATTTCGCATATCCTTAGGGATTATGGTCTTTAGAGGAGAAAAAAAATTTAAAAAAATGAGATAACAAGGTAGTAGAAGCAAAAAAGAAACAAAGAGAAGAGAATAGATTATACTATATTCCAATTCATATATATGTACTATTAAATTTTGTATTTTTATAGGGACCCTAACATCATGGCATGGCTAGGTATGACCATACCAAACTTTCGCCCATAGCTAAACTGGTCTTCCCGAAGATTGACAATTGTCTCCTCGAGCATTTGAAGGAAGGTGTTCAGATTCTTGAGCCTATGTGGTATACTCTCTTCAATGTTATGTTTTTCTCCTACAGGTATCTTCCGGTTATCCCCTTAGTTCTCGTAAATGGGTTTACCGGACTTGGAACCGGTTGGCGATCAAACATTCCGTGCTTTAATCCACGAGACATAATTGACCGCCTCCAGTGTCTACTCACTTTTGAAAAGGAGAAAAAGGCCAAAGGAGGAAATAATGGAAGTAGAACTTTTATGTCCATGGTACAGAGGTTTCAAGGGGAGCATATTGCATTCTGGAAATGATGTAAGGGGTCATAGAATTTATGCTAGCTCAGGCGTGGTGAAGGTAGTTAAGCCAACTACTTTGGTGATAACAGAGCTCCCAATTGGGTTATGGACTTTGGTTTACAAAGAAGATACTCTGGAGCAGATGTTGGCCAAAGGTCTCATCAAGGTGGGATTTTTGTCTGTTTGCTTTTGTGTTCAATTGTTGTGTTGTATAAAAACTGTGTTTGTCTCATATGAATTATGTATGGTATGTTGCAGGGCTATTCAGACCGGAGTTGCCTTGACAATGTGAAGTTGAAAATTTACTTGAACGAAGAAAACAGAAAGTCGGATGATCAACTCATTAAGGACTTCAAGCTCACTTCAAAACTTTGCACTGACGAAATGGTCTTGTTTGATGAGAAAGACATTATCATTGAATTTCACACTCGCAAAGAAAGTAAGATTCATTCCACCTTTCATTTGAGAAACATGGATGGAACAAGACTCTAGGATGTGTGTGTGTGGTGCTGACGTGTGAGAATGACAACACGGGTTGGAAGAGAAAAAAAAAGGCCAAAAACTAGGAAAAGGAAAACATAAAATGCATTGAATTGCCCCTCGTGTGAAAGACTTCTTTGCTTTTTCCCTCGATCTTCCTCTACCCCTCATTTTAGGGATTGGCACTTAACTGGTTCAAGTGAATTGATCGGTTTGTTTGTTTTTCTCAGTTCTAGTGCGATTCTTTAAAGTACGTCTCGATTACTATGGGAGGCGATATGAAAAGTTGTTGAATGATTATCAAAGAGAATTGACATTTCTAGCTGCCAAGATTAGATTTGTCAAAGCTGAATCAGAGGGAAAAATCAATGTCAAAAACGTAGAGAAGGGACGCAATGCGTTGCACGAGGAGTTGAGACAGGAGGGTTACCCTTGCGATGAATCAACGACAGGATTCGATTACTTACTCAGGGTTAGTGATCATCTAAGTCTGTCCCTCACTAACAAAAGAATCCAAGATTTGAGGAACAAGAGGGAACAGATTCGACAACACTTGATGGACTTACGAAACACAACATCGGAAGACTTGTGGCTATGTGACCTGGAGGCTTTGGAGAAGGCACTGCCTCCGGGTGACGGTCTCTAGTTTGTTGCTTTGCCAAGTGCTGTGTCATTTTGCTAGCTACTGTCCTGGTGAATAGCAAAGTCGGTCTTGACATTCCGGGATGCTTGCTAGAAGTTATCTGCTATTTTTATTAGGAAGATGATGTGTGACAAGAGGAGTCCCAAGTCTGGGATTAAAACTCCTTAAGCTCAAGAGGAGTCCCAAGTCTGGGATTAAAACTCCTCTTGTCACACATCATCTTCTTAATACAAATAGCAGATAACTTCTAGCAAGCATCCCGGAATGTCAAGACCGACTTTGCTATTCACCAGGACAGTAGCTAGCAAGATGACACAGCACTTGGCAAAGCAACAAACTAGAGACCGTCACCCGGAGGCAATGCCTTCTCCAAAGCCTCCAGGTCACATAGCCACAAGTCTTCCGATGTTGTGTTTCGTAAGTCCATCAAGTGTTGTCGAATCTGTTCCCTCTTGTTCCTCAAATCTTGGATTCTTTTGTTAGTGAGGGACGGACTTAGATGATCACTAACCCTGAGTAAGTAATCGAATCCTGTCGTTGATTCATCGCAAGGGTAACCCTCCTGTCTCAACTCCTCGTGCAACGCATTGCGTCCCTTCTCTACGTTTTTGACATTGATTTTTCCCTCTGATTCAGCTTTGACAAATCTAATCTTGGCAGCTAGAAATGTCAATTCTCTTTGATAATCATTCAACAACTTTTCATATCGCCTCCCATAGTAATCGAGACGTACTTTAAAGAATCGCACTAGAACTGAGAAAAACAAACAAACCGATCAATTCACTTGAACCAGTTAAGTGCCAATCCCTAAAATGAGGGGTAGAGGAAGATCGAGGGAAAAAGCAAAGAAGTCTTTCACACGAGGGGCAATTCAATGCATTTTATGTTTTCCTTTTCCTAGTTTTTGGCCTTTTTTTTTCTCTTCCAACCCGTGTTGTCATTCTCACACGTCAGCACCACACACACACTCACACACACACACATCCTAGAGTCTTGTTCCATCCATGTTTGTCAAATAAAAATGTGGAATGAATCTTACTTTCTTCGGGAGTGTGAAATTCAATGATAATGCCTTTCTCATCAAACAAGACCATTTCGTCAGTATAAAGTTTTGAAGTGAGCTTGAAGTCCTTAATGAGTTGATCATCTGACTTTCTGTTTTCTTCGTTCAAGTAAATTCTCAACTTCACATTGTCAAGGCAACTCCGGTCTGAATAGCCCTGCAACATACCATACATAATTCATCTGAGACAAACACAGTTTTTATACAACACAACAATTGAACACATAAAAGCAAACAAACAAAAATCCCACCCTGATGAGAACTTTGGCCAACATCCGCTCCAGAGTATCTTCTTTGTAAACCAAAGTCCATAACCCAATTGGGAGCTCTGTTATCACCAAAGTAGTTGGCTTAACTACCTTCACCATGCCTGAGCTAGTATAAATTCTATGACCCCTTACATCATTGCCAGAATGCAGTATGCTCCCCTTGAAACCTCTGTACCATGGACATAAAAGTTCTACTTCCATTATTTCTTTCTTTACTCCTTTGGCATTTTTCTCCTTTTCAAAAGTGAGGAGACACCGGAGGCGGTCAATTATGTCTCGTGGATTAAAGCACGGAATGTTTTATCGCCAACCGGTTCCGAGTCCGGTACACCCATTTACGAGAACTAAGGGGATAACCGGAAGATACCTGTAGGATAAAAACATAACATCGAGGAGAGTATTATTAGAGACAATAAATAGCATATTTCTCCAGGAAGGAGCACAAGAAAGGATGATTTATAATAATACACTTGCAAACATAAACCAATGTTATAAAACAATGATCATACCACTTAGGCTCAAGAATCTGAACACCTTCTTTCAAATGCTCGAGGAGACAATTGTCAATCTCGGGGAAGACCAGTTTAGCTATGGGCGAAAGTTTGGTATGGTCATACCTAGCCATGCCATGATGTTGGGGCCCCTATAAAAATACAAAATTTAATAGTACATATATATGAATTGGAATATAGTATAATCTATTCTCTTCTCTTTGTTTCTTTTTTGCTTCTACTACCTTGTTATCTCATTTTTTTAAATTTTTTTTCTCCTCTAAAGACCATAATCCCTAAGGATATGCGAAATAGTAAATAATAAAAATAAGATAAGAACAAAAAACGGACCCGAGATCGTGTTCCAAATTGACCCTTTGATTGCATGATGTTTAAGTTTTTTCTACCTACAAACTCTTGGGCCATGAGAAAGATGCAATCTGTAAGAACTCCATTGCTGTGATGATATGATGTCTTGGATCATATCTCACCCGCAAAATCCGGCACTTTCATAAATGTATCCAAATTTATCAACAAAGCTGTAAATACCACTTTTCGCTGTGTGCGCTTAAATCCATCAACCATCGACGGGATTGTTCGCCGGTTTTGTGCAATTGAATAATGTATGAACTCTTTGTATAAGAAATCCGAATATGTGATATTCACCATTCTTGGATCGCCTAGTTGGAGATATTCTTCATCTACTTTATGAGGATCTCGAAGCTTTTTTTTTCTCTCGTCACTCATATCTTCTGCCAAGAAAATATTAAATGCAACATCGTCATCTTTCTTAACTGAACTAGGGACGAGCATTTTTCGCAATTCTTTTTTATTTCTAAAATACTCTTGACCTTCGTTGGAGTCATTGTCACCTAAGCACTGAGAAAAAGAAGTAAACAAAAGAAAAATGCGAGTTTTATTAGCTTTGAAAGTGTGATTAATCAACTAATGGTGAATAATATGAGTTTTGAGTGTGTGTGTACACACACACATTAATACATATATACAATTGTACCTTATAAAAAATGGTGTTCCATTGACCCTCTGGATTAGTGATAATCCACTTTTCATAATCTTGAATAGTGAAAAACGTCAAAGGCTTTCGTATTTTGGACATATCAATCGCCTATTAAAGTAAGAAATTAAAAGCTATGTTATCATTGTTACATAAGAATACAAAGTAGGTTATATGTATTTACCTTGATGAGAGGTGTGATAAGCATTGAAAAGAAAGGAGGCTTCAGAAGCAATAAACGCGGCCAAAAATTATAAAACATATTAAGGAGCAAGCCTCTTATATGTGACCCATCGTGATCCTATAGATACACCAAACCAAAAAGATGAGATACTTAAATTGTCTCTAAATTAAAAGTAAGAAGTGGAGGAATTAAAAAGAGAATTAAAGAAAGAACATACTTGAGAATAGAGTTTTTTTTACCTATTTGAAATTTGGAAACTGGAGTAGAGAATGAAATTGAAAGAGTAGGTAGTTAGTAAGTTAGTTATTACTCAGTGTGTATGTTTTGTTTGTTGATATTACTTGAACACAAGTAGGGCTATGGTTCCATAGGGAATAATGAGATGACGCAGGGGCTATGGTTCGAAACCCTAGCTCCCGACCACAAGATCTCTGAGGCGCGCGCAATGCAACAAGCAGATTCAACGATGGAGAGGAGGAACGGAAATGGCGAAGCTCTGAAGGTGCTACCACTGACCAGAAACTAGCGACGAGAAGGGACAAAAAGGAAAGCCAAATCCAGCTTCCGTAAGTGTTTTAGAGGGTATAATCTTTAAATCCGTAGTTGTTCTTCAGTATCCTTTTCGTTTATGTGTTGCTCTTCGTGTTCATTCTTCAGTGTTGTGCATGTTTTAGCACTTGAACAAATCTGAAAGTATAATTAATCCTGCTATATGATAGATTTCGTTTCTGTTTTGAATCCAATGCACTTTATGATTGTGTGTTGTATGTTATGTTCCAGAACATTCTTATCTTTTAGTATGTAATTGATAACTTTGGAGACTGATTCTTGAGTTCTTGCTTAGTAGTGGCTGTTTACACTCTGTATTTGGTGGTTCAATTTGAAAATCTGAATTTTCAGATTGTCACTTTTGTATACTTGTTCATACAGTTCGCATAGATTTGTTATTATGAGAGTACTAGCCTCTTTTTTTTTGTTTCGCTTACTACTCCCTTTTAAAATAAATAAATATACAAATAAAAAAGTTTACCAATTCTTATGAATACTTTAGCTAAAAGTGTTGCCAATTTCATATTACAGTACGATATTATGTTTAGATGCTTTGGTGATACCAGTCCTGGATGATACTCTAGTTTTCATAGATTGCTCCTGTTTCAAATGCTACTGTTAGAAAGATCTATGTTTCAGGCTTGAATTTCTTGAACTGCATCATGGTATATGCAATTAGAAACATGATTTGGTTTTCACAAGCTGCACCTGTCTCAAAGGATTTTTGGCATTTTTTTTCCTCTTTCAACGTAGAATTGTTATCCGTGACAGTTTGTCAATTTCAAAACCTACACAACACAACATGGCATTAGCACTGTGACAAAGGCATAGTCTATTACAACAATTTCAAGGGAAATAGATTGCAATTTTCTTATGTTTAAAGGCACATAGGCTCTAGATGCACTTAAAGATCCCTGACCCTTATCAAAATGTAAATATATATGCGGCAATATATAGTTGTTTTCCATGTAAAAACATCTGTGATAATGATATTGGATGACCTTATTTTAGTGTTAGTATATGTGGAAGAAAACACATCTTCAAGAAATCAAAGAGCCAGTACCTACCCATTAACGATTTGTTGGCTCTTACATTATCACATAAGGGCGTAGATACGAGTGCAAAAATTATTATGGAGTCTAAAAAATATTAATAATTAATGAATATTATTATTCATTAATTATAATAATGGCGGCCAATTTCGTGTTGTGGCTGTGACCAGGTTTCTTAGTTTAGCTTTGATTTTGGATTTTGGGGTGAAGTTTTGGGTTCTTGTGCATCTCTAGCACATTTGAAATTTTTTGGCTGGCTGCATTTTGGGTTCAATGTATTCTGCTGCGCAATGAACTGCTTTGCTATTGTGCATTTTGTTGAATTCCATTTGTAATTAATTAGCTGTCGTTGCACAGGAACAAACATACAAGTGTAAATGCGAATGAAGACTACAGTTAGTTTGATTGGTTTGTGCGTGCTGGAACTGCGTCGTGAGTACCTTAAGTTGGAATTGTCGTGGCTTGGGCAATCCACAAACCATTCGCGAAGTGGTGGACCTGGTTTCTACAAAGAAGCCTTATTTTGTTTTTTTTGATGGAGACCAAGTCTGGGGGAGAACATGCTGAAAGATTGCGTGTTAGGATTGGCTTTGATGGGTTGTTCTATGTTGATAGGATTGGTTTGAGTGGGGGACTTGTGTTGTTTTTGAGGAAGAATAGTACATCAAGGTTGATTAGCTTCTCAAGGAATCACGTGGATGTTGTTGTCTGTCCCAGGGGTGATTCTCCCTGGAGGTTAACTTGTTTCTATGGTTTTCTTGAAAGGGGGTGATGTGGGGCCTCTTGGGACCTTCTCCAGAGTCTAAGCTCTCGGTCTCCTCTTCCTTGGGCTATTGTTGGCGATTTTAATGATCTCTTTTTCCAGCATGAGAAGCCTGGTCCACTCCCACACCTGGATAGCCTCCTTAGGGGTTTTGGGGAAGCGTTAGATCATCGTGGTCTACTACATGTTTCGACGGTGGGTTACCCTTTCACTTAGGAGAGAGGTCGGGGTACGGAAGCTTGGGTGGAGGAGAGATTGGATAGGATGGTAGAAAATGAAGACTGGTGCAGGGGTTTTGAGGATGCTAGAGTTGTTATTATTCTAAACGAACTTCAGATCATTCTGTTCTCTTCCTCGATGTTCATGAACACAAAAAGGTGGTGGATGAGGCATTGAGGGAGCGGCGTAGGGGAGGTTTGATGGAGTGTGTCCAGGGCTGTGGTACTAGTCTGATGAGATGGGGCGGTGATCTGTTTTACTAGTTTGGCAAACATATTCGAGACTTGCATAGGGAGCAGCTGAAGTGGAGAGGGCGTGGTGACCAAAGGTCTCTAGCAGAGTTTCGTCAGATTGATCTAAAACTCTGGAAGCTCAAGAAGATGCATTTGGGAGGCAACGTGCTAAACAACACTGGCTACGGGGTGCTGATGCCAACACCCGTTTCTATCACTTATATGCATTGGCTTGTAAACGGAAGAATACCTTCACAGGACTCAGAGATAGCATTGGTAAATGGGTTGAGGGGGCTGGTATTAACTCCGTTATTCTAAATTATTTTGAAGATATTTTCTCTGCAAGTGGCCCTAGGGTGAATGGTGATGATTTTCTCTCTACTATCACACCCTGTTTAATCGCCCCTTTGGGAGCGAGGAGTTCAAGTCTGCACTTTTTTCTATGTTCCCCAACAAAGCCCCAGGCTGATGGAATGAACCCTGGATTCTACCTACATTTCTGGAATTTAGTGGGAGGGGGTGTGACTGATTTTGTTTTGAGTTGATTGGACTCTGGCACTTGGCCGGTCGGGTTCAATGATGCTAATGTTATTCTCATCCCTAAGAAGAAGGATCCTCAAACTGTGTCGGAGTTTAGGCCTATTGCACTGTGTATCGTTGTTTATAAGATCATGGCAAAAATGTTGCCCAACAGAATGAAGCCATTCCTGGGTGGGGTGATCTCGGAATCCCAAAGTGCTTTTCTTCATGGCAGGTTAATCACTGATATAATTGCAGGAGAGATTGATTGGTCATTTCGTTCATGGGAAGCAGTTGGGGAAGGTTGGCTGGGGGTGGGGGGGGGTTATGGAGGGTTTTCCTTAAGTGTATGTTGTTGGCACTTGGTTTTGGGGAAAGATGGGAGAATTCAATTATGAAATGTATCATGACAGTTACCTATCATATTATGATCAATGGTGGCGTAGGTGGTCGTGTGACCCCCACACGTGAATTGTTTATTATTTGTGCAAAGGGACTTTATATCATGTTGCAGCAGGCGCAGTCTTCTGGTGCTATTCATGGCTGCAGGGTGGCCCATGGAGCCCCCGCGGTCTCCCATTTATTTCTTTGCGGATGATAGTCTGTTGTTCTTTAAAGCTAACTTGCAGGAGGCTGAAGTGGTCAAGCAGTGTCTCCGTACGTATGAGGATCTGTCAGGCCAGGCTGTTAACTTACACAAATGCAATATCTGTTTTAGTAAGAACACTACGGGAGCTCGTGGTGGTCTCATTGCAGGCGTTTCAGGGGTGACTGGAACGGAAAATGTTGGTAAGTGTTTGGGTTTACCATCTTTTGTTGGGTGGAACAAGCGAGCGGTTTTCACCTATATTGAAGAGAAAATTACACAGAGAATTAGTGCTTGGAATAAGAGGTTGCTTAGGAGGGAAGGCAAGGAGATTCTACTCAAAACCATAGCTCGAGCTATGCCTACCTTTTCTATGAGCGTGTTCCTTATCCCAAATTCTCTGTGCTCAGCTGAACGCACTATGAGTCGTTTTTGGTGGGGCTATGGTGGTTCCAATGGTAGGGGTATACATTGGATGGCTTGGTATCACTTATGATGTGTCCCGAAGAAGTTTGGGGACTTGGGGTTCGAAGACCTTCATGCCTCAAATATTGCTTTATTGGGGAAGCAGGGATGGTGTTTGCTTACAAAGCCCCAATCCTTGGTGGTTAGGGTTTTTAAAGCAAAGTACTTTCCTAAATCATCTTTTATTGATGCTGCTGTTGGGAATTGTCCCAGTTACTGCTGGAGAAGTGTTATGGCCTCCCATGATTTGATTTGCAGTGAGATTCGACCCAGGATTGGTGATGGGGCTGGTACGCTTTTGTGATATTATGCCACAGCAGCTTTGTGGGACTGTGTTGGCAGGGTTGATTGACCCTTTTTCACGTACATGGGACCTTCCGCTTTTTTCACGTACATGGGACCTTACACAGATTAGAAATTCACAATAGTAAGATCTCTCCTAGCCGGTTGCTATGTTTTTCCCCTCCCTGCTTGTCAGGGTCTCCCTAGGCGTCTTGCTGCTGGATTGTGCATCTCAGGTCTTATCCCTCCCTGATTGTGCACTTGTCGTCTCCATTTGCGAGTGGTCTGCTTATTAGGAGGATTTTCCCCGATTATCAAATTGTTGGAGCAAATCTGAATTGCGATTGATTGAGGAGGAGGGTGCAATTGCCGATCTTGGGTGGGATCCATATGCGGGGTTGCCAATTGACTATTCATTCTCCTCTGTTTATCATCTTCAGCCTTCTGTATTATCCAGGTGTTATTTGAAACTTTGTTTTATTGTAAGAAACTAAAGGTGATAAAAAGGTGGTGTAAGAACTTCATCTTAAGGTGGGTTTTGCAGGTGCTTTTGTTGTTGACAGTCGGGCAAGAGCGGGGGTTTGGCTATGCTATGGAGGACTAATAACACATCACAACTTCTCGCGTACTCTCGCTTTCACGTGAAGACTTACGGGCTTCTATGGTAAACCAAGGCGTGTGGCTAGGAACATTTCTTGGACTTATGTGTTAAAAGTTGAGTATGGACTTATGTGTAAAATGTTATATTCAAAATAGATGTAGTTCAATAAATAGGAGGACTATTTTTTGTAGTGTTTGTCGCTTTCCCTCCCGTTCTTCTGTTAATTCGTTGAACTCTTTTGATTCATCTAATAATCAAGGTGAGTACGTGGATTATGGTCTCTAGAGGAGAAAAAAAAATTAAAAAATGAGATAACAAGGTAGTAGAAGCAAAACAAACAAAAAAAAACCAAAGAGAAGAGAATAGATTATACTATATTCCAATTCATATATATGTACTATTAAATTTTGTATTTTTATAGGGGCCCCAACATCATGGGATGGCTAGGTATGGCCATACCAAACTTTCGCCCATAGCTAAACTGGTCTTAGAGCTGTAAACGGATAATATCCGCCTCGGATATACAACATCCGTATCCGCATCCGTTTAGCCAAAACAGCATCCGGATCTGCATCCGAATCCGACGGATGTTCTGACATTCAAATCCGAATCCGAAACCGTCGGATTTTTTTAGGATTCGGATACATCCGTATCCGACCGAACATCCGATTAAGTATCCGAATTTTCTAAAATCCGAGAATCCGATTATCCGTTTACACCAAATCCGATTATCCGTTTACACCAAATCCGAGAATCCGATTATCCGAATCATAATTCATAAATAAAATTAAACAGCAAACTAGTTCAAAAAAGAAATTAAACATAGCACCAAACATATTAATTGTCAAATGTGAAATGTCCAACACTCCAACAACAAGCCAACAACAAATTTAAATGCAATGTCCGTACAACATATAACCCAAAA